TCTAAATACCAGGGGATAAGGACAAAGAAAACAAACATTATTACCTCTGAGGAAAATGTTTTTTCATCTCAGGAGATAGTGAATAAACCCATAGACAAATTAAACGTGTGCTCCTTTGTAATGGCAAAAAGTGGTACAGAGAACAAGCTTACAGAGCAATTAAAAGATTATAAAATTAAATAGAGGATTTAGCAAAGTCTCACAGGACAACAGAACAAAGGGGAAGTGAAGGAGGGAACTGTTAAATATCAGAGCAAGTAGCGTTTAGTCAAAGGTCACAGCGAGTTTTAGTCAGTTCCAGGGGGATAGGTTCTGCCTGTTGGGCTTGAGGGAAATCAGTTTGGCAGGAGAAGAGCAACCGACAAGGGAGAAAGGGAAGAGGGGAGGTGGAGGGGAGGCAAAGACCCTATGGGACTTGCAGGCATTGCAAGGTGTCTGGCTCGCACTCCGTGTGAGGAAAGCTCTTAGTTTTGAGCTGAGGAGTGACTGGCTCTCACTTATGCTGAAGTGTTGTGTTGAGGCTACATCTGGAGCTTAATCTACTGTAATAATCTAGGAGAAAACATAATGTTGGCTTGCACTGTGACAGCTGCAGGGGAAATGGTGAGGGTTCTAGGTATAATGTAACTTCTAAAGAAATTGCCAACTACGTGGAAAGAGTGTGAGAAAGGAATTACAGCTGATTTTAAACCCTTTCTTGTTTGTTTGTTTTCCTGAGGGATAAGAATATTTGTGTTTTTCCATTAAATTAGATGAAAATAATTCTGGGAAAAATAACTACAGGGAAAAGGTTAATACAATCAGTATTTTGTATGTTACACATATGACATTACATGACATTCAAGAGGAGATATTCAGTACTCAATAAGAAATATAAGTCAGTGGCTACCAGAAGGAAGGGCCTGGGGGATAGTAAAGGGTAGAGGGGATCACACATACAGTGATGGAACAGGGTCTGACTCTGGGTGCTACACACACAATGGAATCCACAGATGATGGACCACAGAACTGCACACTTGGAAACTATACAGTGTTATTCATCAAGGTCACCCCAATAAATGTAATTTTTTACAAGTGGCCAATGTTGCTGACAGATCCTGGAGGATAAAGACTGAGACCCTCTCTTTTCTCCGGCTAAGTTCCCTTCAGACAATAGAGGTGGATCCACTGTTCAGGCTAAGCCGTTTTTCCTTGGAGTGATATTAAATTACAAGGAGAACTCCCATATGATACAGCAATCCATCTCTGTATATGCCCAAAGGAAATAAAACCAGTATCTCCAAGATATCTGTACCCTCATGTACAGTTCAACATTCTTCATAATACCAACACGGGGAAGCAACCAAAATGCCCCGCATCAGCTAAGCGGATAAACAATGTCCTTACACACAATGGAGATTATTTAGCCTTAAGAAATGTAAACCTGAAAGCTGGTGCAGGTGGACTGCAGCCTTTCTCCCTGGGCTCCTCCGGGCCCCTGCTCTGGCCAGCAGATGAGCTGGGCCCAGGGACCCGCAGCAGACCCCTTCCCACTGACCAGAGCCCTCCTGCAGGTGCCCACCGGCCAGGACCAGGCTGGGGAGTAGAAGCCAGCCTCTCTCCCCCCCCCCCCCCCCCCCCCCCCCATCTCCACCACCTGGTGAAGGCGGCCTCCCCAAGGAGTATCCAGTGGACCCCAGGATCTGCAGCCTGACCCTCCAGGGCCTAAGCAGGGACACCCCCCCCCCCATGCCCCTTCCCCTGCCCAGCTCCGAGCCCCCAGAACAGGAGGAGAGGGGGGGCAGCGGTGCTGGAACCCGCCCAGAGGGAGGCCTAGAGGCAGGTCTTCATGGACACAGCTCCCACCCTCAGGGCTTGGAGCGGGCGGCTAGGGAACCTGGTGACCCTCCGGCCCAAATGGAGGAGACTCACCTGGTTCTGAGCTGGAAGGACAAAGGCTTTAAGGGCCGAAGGTGAGGGAACCGCATCCAAACAGGCGATTGGCTGGGTTCTGCAGACCCTGGGTTCGGAGGAGAGATGGCAGAGGCGCAGACAGCATCTGGCTGCCAGGACTGAGACGGGCCCACCGCCCTTGGCGAAGATTTACAGGCCCTTCAGGGAGGCCTGGGCGAATAACATGAAGCAGCTGCCCTCATCTTTCCCCGCCTTCCAAAGGAGAGCTTGGCAGCATGCGGGCCTCCTAGATGCACAGAGGTTGATGACAAATGATTAAGTAGAGTTAGGAAATCATACATCTTGCAAACGCCTTTTGTGTGTGTGTGTGTGTGTGTGTGTGTGTGTGTGTGTCCTTTTTAACTTGTTAACCGGGGAGTTCCCTTTTTAATTACACAACGTACAATGGGCGCATACTCTTTTACTAGGACGAGTCAGTATGTCATGCCCAGTGGACTTAATTTTATATTATTATTATTTTTATTTATACTTAATTAAAATAAATGAAATATGTATTCTTCGTTTACATATAAAGCACAAAGGAAAATACAAAATTACAAACAAATAGAAAAGAATACCAACAAAAAAATGGAAACATCGAATTAAAAAATTATAAATTTTACAAACAATTATAAAGATTACAAAAAATATATATATTTTATTTCTATACACAATAAAAAACATAAAAAGTTAACAATCACAGAACAATAAACAAAAGCACAGAAATAAAATAGAAATATTGAGTTTAAAAAATTGAAATATAGATGTAAAAATTCAAAACTCAACTTCCATGTGATGTATTTTAAAACAATTGTTGATACATAGTGCTACCTTACAATCAGAACACCAGTATGTAGATTCTTTCCTACACCTTTTTTGTAGCAAACTCGGCATTTCCTGGATTTAGTTTTTCCTATATTCCTTTTCATTTGTTCTGGAAAATGCCTTTCAACTAAGCATGATGGTTTAGATGTAGAGCTGCTTGTTGATGTCTTTGGGTGGGTTTTCACTATGTTGTTATCTACCAATTTCTCTACACACTCTATCAAAAAGTGTGATCAATCCAAAAGACCTTTATCTTTTTTGTATATAATATATGCATTGAAGCAGCACATATCAATTAATTGTAGAAAAAAAATTTTATAAATTTTTTTTACCTTATTACAGGCAGCCCTGTAGGCCACCATAACTCCATCTCCCAAATCTACGCCGCCCATATTCTTGTTATAATCCAGGACAACATTCGGTTTTTCTTGCCTTCTTCCTCTCTTTTCAATCATTGTCTTTTCGTCATTATGAATAGAACTGAGCATCAATACGTCTTTTTTATCCTTCCATTTTAAAACCATAAGTTTGTCTTTGATTCTTACTATATGTTAATTTTTTCTGTAATTTTTTTGTTTTTATTTCACTAGGTATTCTGACTCTGTTTATCCTCATTGTTCCAACAATGTCTGTATTGTTTTGACACAAGAGTTCAGCCAAATGAATTGACATATAGAAATTATCTAAGTAAATCCTATACCCTTTATTCAGTAAGTCATGTGTTAACTCCAAAACAATTCTTGTTGATTGTTTTTCTTGTGGGTAGTTTGAATCATAATTTGTGTCCTTACCTGTGTATAAAATTATATTTTGTATGTATCCAGATTGGCTTTCACTCAAAATAAACAACTTCATTCCAAATCTAGCTCTTTTTGTAGATATATATTGTTTCCAAGATAAATTTCCTTTCCATAATAAAAAAGATTTATCTACGCATATTTCTCGTTCACATACATAAAAACTTTTCTGACAAATTATTGATGATTGGATCAATTTTATATGTTTTTCTATTATATAAAGGTTGGAGATATAAAAAATATAAGTAAATGATATATAATACGAAAATACTAGGTAGGTAAGTGTAAGTACGTACCCGTCACTGCTCGCCCAGAACACGTCTACCACTCTCAATAGCGAAATTATACTGATTTCCTCTGTGTCTTAAATTCATGTGGAGACATGTATGGATGACTAATACCTTTGTTGTTCGTAAATATACATCCCGCCTGTTTCAGGGCGCAACATATATTTCAAGGATGTATTCATATGTCCTACCCGTACCTGATATTGTTTACTACGTTTGACATATTTATACGTCCCGCTCGGTTAACAGGTTAATCAAAAGGAATGTCTTCTGCCAATGCCTTTGAGGTGGAATTGTCAGACTACCTCTGGAAAAGGCAGGAGATAGCAGGAGTGGTGCCTGTTCCCCAGGGGTTAGAGGTCATGGAGTAAAAGACCTTGAGGAGGAAGGAAAAAAGGTCCCAATGCCACACTGGTCATATTGAAGAGACATTTTCATTGTATAACATTGTTTTAACTGTGCACTATTGTATAATATAACAGTTGACAGTGCTAAATACTTTTATGAAATATTTATGTTTCTATATGTTCAGAAGTGCCTGATAAAAGTAGAGGTAGTAAAAAAAGAAAAAGACCTTTTAATAAATATCAAATACTGTTATTTTGGGGATGGCCAAACCACCTCTTTGAACAGTACACATCTGTTCATTGGTTCAAGGGAGAAGGAAAAGCAAAGAGCTGGGTGCCAGTGTGTTTCAAAATGAGGCAGATTAACCATTGTCTTTTATGTTCATACATTTACTTTTACTGAGCTGTGTTTATAGTGTATATAATGGACAAATGAGTCCTAATAATGTACAACATTTAGTCTTTCTAGATGTTAAAGAGGTTGCCAGTGTATGACAAAAATAGAGTGAGAAACCAATGCATTTTGTCCACTTTTGTTAAAATTTCTAGGAAAGATTGTCTTTTGAATATTTGAGCATCATATATACATGGAGTTGGACATGGGGTTGTTGAACCATCTCAGAAATGGGCATTGGGACTTGTTCACTAGGCTGGCAGCAGGGGGCACAAGGAAGGACAGAGCTGGGAGGTGGGGATGTGTTCATATTCACATGGTGGTGATAACCACTGATGTGCCTGAATCTCTTTACTTGTGCTACAGGGTTATAGGAATATGCTGTTAAGTACTTCAGTCAAAACTTGTCTCCTTGCTGATATTTTAAATGGAACATTAAAGGAATGTAGTATTGTAATTGTAACTTTGCCAATATCTTTATCTAGAGGCCTGTTGCTATTTTTGTCACCAAGAAAGGATTACATTTTCTTCCAGATTGAGATGGTGTAGGGTATTTTTGGTTATCAAAATAGCTTTGGGACTTTGAAATGGTAAATATTCATGATGTGTGAGAAAGCATCATATATAACCGTACCATCTTAATTACATAAAAATGGAAGCTTAGCTGGGTAGATACACAGGACTTAGAAGGACATGTCAGACTATAAACTGCTTGTGATTATGGATGGCTTTGCTTGTGTTTTTCAGTTTCCTACATATGTACAAGTTAAGTTTTTAAAAAATGAATGTTACTTTAAAAGCCTAAAAAAAACCAAACAAACAGTAAATTCCACCATGTGCAACAACATAGAGGAAGTTGGAAGATGTTATGCAAAGTGGAATAAGCCAGAAACAGAATGGCAAATACTATAGGATCTACTTACATGAGGAATTGGAAATATTTAAACTCATAGAAACAGAGGATAGAATGGTTAAACCAGGGTCTGGTGACGGAGAAATGGGGAATGGTTGGTCACATGGTATAGAGTTTCAGTTATATAGGTTGAATAAATCCTACAGATCTACTGCATATCACAGTATCTATGGCAAATAACACTGTATTAAACACATAAAAGCTTGCTTAAAGAGTAGATATTACATTGTGTTCTTATCACAATAAATAAATAAACAAATAGGAGGAAACTTTTGGAAAGAGAGGTTTATTACATTCATTGTGGTCATGCTTTTATGGGTGTGTATTTATCTTCAAATTCATCAAGTTGCATACATTCAATATCTACAGCTTTTCACATGTCAATCATATGTCAACAAAGTGATTTTTTTACATAAGTGGATGGATAGATAGATAGAACTGCTTGCTAGGTATTGTTACAGGTTTTGACAAAGCTTCATTTACTTAATCTTCACAAGAATCTTATTGTAATACATAATTTATTCAAAATTGGAGCTAGAGTTTTCTGATATGGGCAAGGAAAAAATAATACATGGGAGGAAAAGAATTGGTATAACATTAAGAAATCTCTAGATGTTGTATTTCTTTCACATGGATATTCTCAATAAAATGCCAAAAGTAATATCAAGCACTCCTAAAACACACAGAAAATGATTAATAACTGTTACATTGTATATCTTAGACTTCCTGTTTACACAATATGGCTTAAACCTGTATCTCCTTGTTTGTCCCCACCAAGAAAAAGCATAAAGCATAAACTTAGCACTAATGCAAGAGACAATGATGCTGTCCTAGATGGTTTGGCTCAGTGGATAGAGCGGCAGCCTGCTAATTGACGGGTCCCAGTTTCCATTTCGGTTAAGGGTATATGCTCAGGTTTTGGACTCAATCTCCAGTAGCAGGTATGCAGGAGGCAGCTGATCAATGATTTCATCTCATCATTAATGTTTCTCTCTCTTTCTCCTCCTTTCCGCTCTGGAATCAATAAAAAATTATTAAAAAAAACAAAACAAAACAAAAAACAAGCAAAAAACCAAGAGAGATAATGATGCTGAGAGATATAGAAGATAGCAACAGAGTTGGCAGGAGAAACTAAACTATACCAAGCAAACTAGTCTAGGAAGCAACCTCCTTAATGCCCCTCCTCCTGCAGTCAGGCAGGCAGGCAGAATCTAGTCATCATTAGTGTACTGGTGTGAGAAGCTGCTTTATTTAAGTCAGACAAGACTCTCCTGCTTGCTCAGAGACAACTGGCAGGATGGGGGGGGGGGGGGTGCGGGAGGGCGGGTCACTAATAAGAGAGATCTCATTGCATGCAATACCCCAAGAAATATCAGACAGGATAAACCTTTCCTGTCACCACAGACAGCTCCATTAGGGACTTCTTTGGACCCCCATGGTACCAGATAAACAAAGCATACCAACAAACAATGTTTCCAAAACTTAAATCACCATGGGAACTCCAGCTCACAAAAGTAAAGTCATCCCATGTACTAAACCTAAGCTGGGTAAATGACTGGTAAAATAAAATACATAAAGAGAACCCAGAATCCTCTAGCATAGTAGACACAAATCTCTAAGGTACAACCACCTGTCGTACCAATAACCTAGAAAATCAAAACTTAAATGATGGAAGACATTTTACGGATGCCAATATTTAGTTGAATCAGATTGTGGAACTATCTGACAAGACAAGGATTTTAAAGCAACTCTCATAAAAATGCTTCAACAATCAAATGCATATTCTCTTGAAAGAAAATAAGTAAAGTTGTAGCAAAGTAATATCATAAGAAAGAAACAAAAGGTGATTATAAATCTCAAAAGTACAACTACAATAAACAACACTTCCTGCATGGAGTACAGTACAGGAAACAGAAGATGGAAGCAGTGACTTTGAGGAAAGAACCATAAAACTAACCCAAACTGTAAAACAGAGAAAAAAGCTGGACCAAAAAAAAAAAAAAAGAGCCAACATTTGTATCATTGAAGTCCCTGAGAGAGAAAAGAAAGAATATTTGAAATATACTGAAAGTATCTGAAAGCTGTTAATGTAAAAAAAAACCACAAAAACCCAAAACATTGAAACCTGTAAATAATTTTTGTGAGTTTTTTTGAGCTGAACCGTGGACACATGCTGGGAAGCAGAACCTCGAAGGATTGAGATAATGTTGCCTAGAATGGCTGGTTAATACATCTGTATTTATAGGTGGATTACATGAAATTCATTGGTGATAGATTAAGGAGTTGGGATAAAGCAAAGAAGTGGGAAATCCCTGGGATTGGGTGAAAAGTAAAATGATGGTCACATATTTAGGTGGGTGCAGGAACAATTAACATGATAATGAAGGAATTTGTGGTATCTGCCCTGGAGCCCACCACATTAGGTTGTGCCCCAGGGGCTCCAGAAAAAGAGAATTTACAAGTTACCCAGATATTTCAAGGGCATGTTATCATAGATGCAAAAGACAGATAGGCTCAGTCAAGGTAAAGGTTGACCTTGTCAGTGTAGATACAGGCCTAGGATATAACTGTCCACCACAACTGCATTTAGTTAAAGTTTAATTTCAGACCATCTTTTGTGGTTCCTTTAGGTCTCTGAGTTTGCAAGAATGCCATGCAGGCCTCCCCTGAGCTGATCAGGTCAGCATGTGGCCCCTTTTGTCCACAAAGCATAATGATTGAAAAATTTCCAAATTTTGCAAAAGTTGCAAACTCATTGATAGAAAGAGCTGAGTGAACACCAAAATGAAAAGAAATCCACTTCAAGACTCATCATCAGCAAACTTTTGAAAGTCAAAGATAAAAAAATAATAATGCAGGGGAGGGAGGAGACAACTGGAGGGGGGATACCTATAATTCATTCAACAAAAAGAATAATTAAAAAAAAAAATCAAGGAAAAGTCAACCCAGTTCTAGGTAAAGAAAAGTTAATATGGATGCTTGCCATATATATTTTGATACTATGTATTTGTAATTAATTATTTGGAACAAAAATTATTGTTTGAAAATATCTGTAACTATGTTTTCCTTTTTTCTCTTATCCTATTACAATAAATGAGAGGGGAAAGTTAAAACGTTTTTTTTTAATTTTTTATTTTCACATGATTACCTTTGCTCAATGTGCATTTCTGTCTCTTTCTACTTTTTATTATTCTGTGAAACTGTTAAATCTAGCTGAGGACTTGACGGTATTTCAAAGTTAATCAAAACAAGAAATCAAAGAAAATGTTTATTGTAATGAATACAAATACCTTCAAGTTTACAATATGTTTCAGAAACACAGTAAGTTTAAGTAGATTATAATATACCAGAGGCCCTGATGCAGGAATATTTGTGGACTTGGGAGAGGGAGTCCCTCAGCCTGGCCTGTGTCCTCTTGCAGACCAGGAGCCCTTAGGGGATGTCTGACTGACCTTTGAGAGGTGACTGGTGAGATGATCAGGGTATGGCACCGGCCACTGAGCGCTCGAGCACCCCGCACACACACACCAATTACCCCTCTACCACTGCTGATCACTGCCTCCTCCTGATTGCCTTCCCCTCTCTCTGCCCTCTGGCACCCACCTTGACTGGCCTGGAACCACCTCTGGCTCACCAGCCCCACCCCCTGCTGACTGGTCATTCCACCATTTGGTCGATTTGCATATTTGCTTTTATTATATACCGTGGGATGCTTTATAGTTATAATGCTCATTTAAAGTTACAGATATTTTCTCAGTTACTGAACGTAGGAAGTGGTCCTCTGTGATCCCTTTTCAGCATAGTCAACTTTTAATGGAACTGGTTACTGAAGCTCCCCAGGGCAAACTGAATGTAGGGAGGAAGAGGATTAAGAACAAAGAATTCTTGCCGAAACCGGTTTGGCTCAGTGGATAGAGCGTCAGCCTGCGGACTGAAGGGTCCCGGGTTCGATTCCGGTCAAGGGCATGTACCTTGGTTGCGGGCACATCCCCAGTAGGGGGGGTGTGCAAGAGGCAGCTGAGCAAGGATTCTCTCTCATCGATGTTTCTAACTATCTATCCCTCTCTCTTCCTCTCTGTAAAAAATCAATAAAATATGTTTTAAAAAAAAAAAAAAAAAAAAAAAAGAACAAAGAATTCTAAACTTGAGCCAGCATCATGGTGGAAAGGCCTCAGCACCCCCCTCCCCTCTTTTTTTTTTTTTTTTTTTTTTTTAATAACTCAATAGGAGGCAATAAAACCTAGGTGACATATGAGGAAACTATTAAACCAATGAGGAACAGGGAATGGGAGGAGGGGATAAACAGGCTGGGATTGCTACTCTTTGTGTGCCTGTACAACAGGACACTGGTCTTGAGCATGTATTAAAAAGTGCCTTTTGCTGGTCCGTTATTTGAATTTAGACAGGTGAGCCTTTCTCACACTGAACCATCCTAGCAACACTCTGAAACAGGAGTCATAATGTCACCAGAAGAAGCATGATTAACTTTGACATGATACTAGGATTTTGAGCCTTACCTTAGTTAAGCCCAGCTTAAATCTTTTTCTTTTTTTTAAAATATATTTTATTGATTTTTTTACAGAGAAGAAG